ATGTATTACCCCAACACTCAACACAATAGTCCAAATAAGGTACAAACATGGAACAGTAAAGAATATGGAGTGACTTCCAATCCACGATATTTTTAACTCTAGCCAATAGTAGTATCATCAGCATATAATACAAAGTTCAATAATTCAGAAACATAACACATATCGTTTATATACAATATGAAAAGTTTAGGGCCCAAAACCGACCCCTGTGGGACCCCACATACTATATCCAAAAAATCAGATTGATGCCCACCCAGACTTACAAATTGCTGTCTATTGGACAAATAACTTTTTATCCATTTCAGCACCAAACCTCTAATACCATACCTTTCCAATTTATCAAGTAAAATTTCAAAATGAATAGTGCCAAAGGCCTTTTGAAAATCAATAAAAATCCCCAATGTTTGTTTCTTGTTGTCCCAGGCACTGGTAACACCTTCTACAAATTCAGTAATTGCAAGCGCTGTAGATCTATTAGATCTAAAACCATACTGCTTTTCAGTTAAAATTTTATGTTTGTCCAAAAATTTATCTAATCTAGCATTAAAGAGTTTTTCTAAGATTTTAGAGAATTGCGATAATAAAGAAATTGGTCTATAATTTGTAATATTATGCCTATCTCCACATTTATATAACGGAATAACCTTTGCTGTTTTCATACAATTGGGAAATTTTCCTGTTTGGAAGGACAGTCTTCAGTCAAGACACCTGGAAACCCAGAAAAATATGATGCATCATCTAAGAGAAATTTTTCATCATGTCACACACAACCCTCATAAGATGCTGTGGTTGAATAGGAAGCTAAATAGTGGCAGAGTGCTAGCTATGTTCTTTTAAGTGCTTTACACCTTTATTGACATTTGTTGCCCCATCAACAGTACCTCCAGTACAGTACCTGTAGGCCTGAGCAATAGCTTTAGTTAAGAGCCCATGATGTTTTGAATCTGATACCTTGAATTATTCAGTTTCATTACTAACCATAAAACTGAATGCACTTCAAACTGTCTGAGTGATTTATGGCTGATGCCATAATCACACCATCAGAGGGATGTGGTTTAAACTAATTTTGTTTTTGTTACTGTAACAGTTTTAATCTTCCTAGTTTCTCCCCAATCTTTTGCTGCCCCCATCCTTCTTTACCTTTTTAAATTTTGTAATAGTTTTATAATTTTGTTTGTGTCCTTTTCTTCTCTCCACTTCCTGCAGCTGTCTTTGTTCTTCCCAATTGTCTACTGTATCTGCAGCATATTCCTGGTGGTTGTGCCCCTCTACAGTGATACCATCAACTCTTTAGTGGGAATTGCTGTGGCGCTGTCTGGTGTACCAGTCTACTTCATTTGTGTCCGCTTGCCACACAGGTCCAGACCAGCCATCCTCAGCAAAATACTCAGTAAGAAGCTTCAAATGATGACGGGTTGCATCTGATAGCAGTGGATCTGTCAGCGTAGCGGTTAGGGTTGTTTATGGAGGCATAACAACTCACTTTTTATAATCTTTGGAGATAACTTTCAAAACAATTTTTGCTATAAAATTTTCACTTTTAATTTTAGAGGGATATTACAGGATTCATGAACCTTAAACCATTTGCAGACCCATGGGAACCAACATGCCTGATTTTCTGTGGGTTACAATTTACTTAATGCACAAATAGCATTTTATAGGTCACATCTATGGAAATAATACATATAAGGTAACTTCCTCATTAACATAATGGAGGGTGAAGTTTTTTTTGTTTTTTCTTTGGTGGGTGGTGGTTGTTGTTTTTAAAGGTGTAACCCCTCTAGCAACAATAAATTGCCTAAATATGATCTAAAGTAGTATTGAAATTGTTCTAAATTACCTCAAATGCAGCTCTTTACTGCACTTTCTTATTATCAGCTAACATCTGCAATAGGCCAGTATCCAAAGATATTCTGGCCCATTGAAATGTTTAAGGTGTAGAGTTTGTCTGTGATGGTAATGGGGATTATTTTTAAAAAAGTTAATTACTATTAATATTAATAAATTTCATATAGACCAGCTACCATAGATACATGTTAAATATCTTGGTGTTAAGAACTGAGGAGTGATTGGGGATTACTGTTTCAAAGTCAAGTGTGCTATAGAGCCCACATACTCTGGTAGATTTCTATAGTGCAGTGTGTGGAATTTGTCAGATTAAAACAGCTTTAGCTGAGGAGTACCTCGTCCTAATACTACTAGTTTTGTGCTAAACCAACACCAGTAACTTTTAAAAATGTTTGCCTGTATTTTTCTCCAGTTTTTAAGATGATCTCTTGAGTGCAACTCTATTTTTTTCTTTCTTTCCTCTCACTTCAGATAAGATCTGTCTGTACACCCAGAAACTGTGCATGTGCTGTGTGACCTCGCCTGATATTGATCTGGACAACATAGACCCTGACAAGATGGAATGATGGAACCACAAAGGACTGTAGTGACACATATTATGGAGACATGTGAAGGGGATGGACAAAGGAAACTGAACTGGAGAGTATGGGAGATTCGCATGAGTAAGGCTTGATTGATTAAAGGAAGAGGACAGAGAAACTGGACAGATTAGTTCATCACACCTCGTCTTCTCCCCCTCATACACCAGCAATATGAAAAACAGTAGAATTTTATTTTTAGAATGAATTGAGGTTTTGTATATAACCCTTCATCAAACACCACGGTACAGATGATGGACACTAGTTCAAATGTTGGCACACATGCAGTGCTGATTGTGCAGTTCCTTCCACATAAACTGCAACTCACACACAAATAAACTGACCCTCAGCCCAATCCAGAAGGGGCCGACTCAGCAGATATGCTTTTGATTTATTTATTTGTAGACATGAGGCAGGTGTATCTGTATACAGGTGGAGTTGAAAAAGTTCATTACAAGTGATGCATTCTTTCCACTGGTATACAGTAAATGGAGTGAGCAAGTGCAGCCTCTGAATGTGTAGAAATGTTACTGCAGTTCAGCCAAACAGACAATTTGTCATCATTGGAAAAATATCTACATGCCTGTAGATGAATAATTACCTAATGATTCACAAGCATTGATTAGAAATTTGATTTGCCATCTAATATAGTGTTGGAAATTACTGGTTTGGGCAAACACTTGACAGCAGAGCTAGGATCCTCTCGTGACCAGTCTGTGAATGTTTTGCTAAGGTTACATTAACATCAGATGGGGGGGGGGGTTATTTTAGAGTGCAAGCTGATTGTGATGTGTGTGTCTGAACGGTTTTCCAGAAGGAGCGGCAATAATGCATCATCATACATTCCTCTCGGTGCATCCTGCTGTTGTTCCATCCGAGCAACACACATGAAATGTTTCTTCTCTCAGCCAAATGTTGTGAATGCATATATTTGATTCCTGGTGCCTCCTAGTAGTAGCAGCTATCAATGCACAAAGTCACTGCAACTTCTGTGTTTCATTCACGCTATTGTCAGCTGTCAGTATGTTTTTTTTGTTGTTTTTTTTTTGCCATTTACAAACACACTGAGAGGAAGTTAACTTGTGTATCACGGACATGAATGAGATTTTAAACGTTTAAACTCGTGTGCTACTGTTATTGTATCTTGGATTAGGCAAATGTCCCTGTTGTGCCCTTTTGAGACTTTGTAGGTACATGTGCTGATGTTCTGACGTTGATTCTCGTCTTTTTACCCACTACTGTGATATTTAATCTATTGTTGCCTTTGAATATTTCACCAACTTAGACTGTGTTTTCATTGTGTAACCAAAGGCCTCAGCCGTGCTGATAGTTCGGCCAATGTTGTGCTCAGTGTAGTGAGTTTATAGCAGTCTCTCTGCATACCTTTTGAGAAATAATAGCTGGGTGTATGTTGAACTACAGGGAGACATGAGTTCAACTCTGTTTCCGTTGTACTGTAGTCCTTTTAAACTGTATGTGCCTTCTGTGAGAGTGAGCTACAAAGGGCCTGGTCTGTTTTTGATAGTGTTATGTAGTTTTTGTCTACAGTGTCTGCGCACAATCATATAGACACAACTATAGGGTTTATCAAAAGCTTTTCAGGTTGTGATTTTTTTTTTTTTTTTTTTTTTTTTTTTTTTTTTTTTTTTTTTTTTTCTAGCTGAAGCAGCTTCATTAGCTAAATGTTGTAGTTGACTATCAGCTGGAAAAAAAATGAATCCGAACCATATTTAGTGTTGACAAGCACTTTCACAGCGCCAGCCAACAGGCGCACACAGATGTTTAACTTTGCCTTCTAATGGGCCAGTCATTTAAATGACACCAGCCAGCTGTGTGTCTGTGTTGGGAAGGAAACTATCAACTGCAGTAAACATGGTTAATATGTAAATCTATTTCCATCTAATGTTGGACAGGAAACGCCGGATTTGAGTGTTGGAGTATAATGTGTATTTGTTAGGTTTCACTGGTTACCAAATGTGAGTGGTTGGGTTGTGCGGTACAATGTTTCAGGTATTCGTAGAATTGTCTTTGCCTTGTTTGCTGTTTATTACATTCT